GTTGTTTGTGAATACATGATTGAACTAAGAATGAAGAAAGCCATTCAATCAATGTTCAGTCATTTATCTAAAGAGATCCCAATAGCCTTCTGTTGTTGCATCCAATTTTGTCTTGAAATATTCTTGGCTCCTCTCCTCTGTCTAGAAGTTTATTCCACACGTTAATCACCTTTATTTGAGTAGAAGTACATTTTGAATCATCTTTTTTAGATAAAACTGTGACTTTTCATTTTACTTCCCTAGATAAAGTAATATTTTAAGTTAGCATTTTCTTTATGTTTAATAAAATTTTTCATTTTTTTTGTACCTTCATGGGGCTTAGGCCATGTTAACATTTATCACCATCCCTAACTGTCCTTGAACTGAATGATTTGCTAGGCTATTTCAGAGGGCATTAGACATAGCCACGTTGCAATGGGTCTGGAGTCACATGTATGCCAGACCAAATGAGAAGAGTAGATTTCCTTCCCTAAAGGAAGTTAGTGAATCTTATGGGTAGTTACGACAATTGACAATGACAATGTGATCATCATTAGACCAATGGTAAGTTCCAGACTTTTGCTGTGGTAAGATTTAAACCCCTTTCCAATATTGCTATGCCACTGCCTTCCCTGTTTCTCAGCTACTTCCTTTCCAGGCTGTAAAATCTAAGTTCTCCCAGCTTTTCCTTGTAACTCAGATTCCTGACTGAAGAGATTTCCTTTGCAGTTCTTAGATGGCTCTTGTGATTCCTGGTAATTAGAATTGAATGTATTATTTCACATGGGGTTGGACCAGAGCACTGGGAAGTGTTGTAATTATCAAGTTTATATGATTATCATGTTTTGGAGCTGTGGAATTAAATATAGGATAAATGAAATTTGGTGGGGGAGGTGGGGGGGTGTGGTGATATGAAACCTGTTCTGACACTGCTTGAGAGTAAGCCCAGGTGATTTGATTATTAGAGATAAAAGAAAGGCTTTGATTGTTTCATTGAGAAGAAGATGAGACAGTCATGCTTGGAAACAATGGCAGCAGTTTCCAAGTTTATAATTGGTTTCCCTGAGTCATCCAAAGTCTCAGGAAAGTGTTGTAGTTTAAGGTTGTAGATAGTTGTGCTGGGAATTGCCCCCTTATTTGAAAAATGAAAAGGAGTTGGTGTCACAAATAGCAAATCAGCATTTCTACCTAGATTCAAAATTAATATATTCCGTGTTGCTATGGGAAGAGAGCAGAGGTAACTATTTTAAGATCAGGTTACAGGCTTCCCACAAAGCTCCACACATCACAGACATACAGAGGTTCTGCATGCTTAGCACAGAGAAAAACTGCTTTTACTTTATAATTTACCCACCCCAGGGAGGGTGGGGGGGGGTGGGGGGGGGGGTGGGGGTGGTGGTGGTGGTTGGGGGGGGTGTGGGGCACCGTCTCTGACCCACATCCTGTGGTCATTTAGGGATTCTGGGTAATGGTCTGGTATCATTGGAAATAAACCTTATTGCTGCTCATTGATTTAAGAAACTCTTCAAAAACCAAGGGAAATCCCTGGTGATGGCCACTTGAAGTTACTATGTGGCAAATGCATTAGAGACTAGGACCAATTGTTAACTGTTTGCTGTAGAAACTTTAATTTTGTGGATAATGTAATGTGTCATAAATACAAATGCAAAGTAGCACTCACTGTAATTTAAGTTTTAGGTTGCTCATTAACCCAAATAGTGGTTAGTCAATAATTTTTGTTTAGTTATTTGTTACAGTATATTTTTAAGATACGAAATCCCGTCCCATTCTTTCAGCTAATAACTGAAAGTTTGAATTTTTTTTTTTAAACTTATTGACCTCTACACAGATCATAACAATACTTCAATCATGGTCAAAGCAGTTACATATAAGAAGGAGGAGATTATTTAATTTAGGGCATTGTCAAATGAGACTCAATCGTTGCACTATTCCACTGAGCCAGAATATTGTCAGTTCCCATACTAGAGATTTAAAAGCAAAAATATATAGTGCAATACAAAAGGGAATTGCATTGCTGCAGTCATTCAAATAAGATATTAAATTAAAGCTCTATCTGCTCTCTCAAGTGAATGTAAAAGTTCAAGAATCATATGATGCTGCTTGGCCTGCTGTGTTCATCCAGCCCTGCACCTTGTTGTCTCGGATTCTCCAGCATCTGCAGTTCCTATTACCTCTGACAGAATTATTCAAGCCTGATTCAGCTGAACCCATTCAGCTGGCTACTTGAAAGGGCCATGTACCAAATGTAATTTCCAGCCTTCTTCTTGTAACCCTGAACATTCTACCTATTCGGATAATAATACAACTCTCTCAAGTGCCTCGATACTTTCCTTGGGAGTATTTTGAAAAAGAGCAGGAGTTATCTTTGATGTCTAGTTAATATTTATCCCTCAATCAATATCATAGAAACAGATGATATGGACATTATTTGATAGTTGTTGGAGTTTGCAGTGGTCACATTGGCTACCTTATTTCCTAAATGTGGAACAGTTAGCTACAAAGCACTTTGGCTTGTCCTGAGATCATGAAAGATACTTCATACATTCTAACTTCGTAATTTATTGCTGTATCTTGCTTGCATATATTTTCTATCAGGTCTGCTAAGACTTCTCGACCTCTTTCAGTTTCATTTTTAATAATTTCATACCATTTGTGGAATATGCACATGATCAAATTTTCTTTTCAATGTGTACCACTTTACACTAGATGGTTTTATCTTAGGTCGATGCAGTGAAAATATCGTTATTTAATTTCAAAATATTAATGGGTCTTGAGAAATTAAAGAGGGTGAAGCTGTTCCCATTGGCAGAAGGGTAAGGTGAATGGCAAGCAGCCAAGAGGTGACTGAAGGAAATGATTCTCTACATAGCAGGTCTTAGGGTCTGGAATATCCTGAAAGCCCTGAGAGTGTGGTGGGAGCAGATTCAGTCATGGCTTTCAAAAGAAAATTGGTTAATCGTTAAAAGAGAAAAGAAATTCCGAGCCATGGGGAAAAGGCAGGGGAGTGGGGCTAGCTGAGTTGCGGTTGCACAGATACAATGGGTGGAATCTTATACACTCCTGATTGCTGTAAACTGTGGCGTGTAATGTGCCTGAAGATCATGAGAAATCCATTGAGGCTATTCTTGAAGTTCGGAACAACTCACTGCATTAAACTAAGTTCCAGGTGTTGAGGTGAGATTCTTGCTGGGCAGGGCTGATCTATCCAGTCAGGAGAATTATTGATTGTTAGCAACCTTCATTACTATGCAGCTCTTTATTGTACCACTGCTACAAGCAAACTAGATTTCAAGAATTCACGATATGGAAGTCAGAATGGCCACCTGGTGACATCAGATCACCACTTAATACAAAGGATCTCCACTTGCATAGCAACAACCAACATCTCAGTGTGTGCCCAATGGGCCCTGACTATTTGCACTTCACACGCGCAATCTTGGCATCTGGCAGACGTCAGTCTTTAGAACCTTCATGGCACATCTTAGATTCACTCACAAAATGCTTCTGTGCCTCAATGTGGCACAGCAGGGTGCACTGGCAACTATCATTGTAATGCTGCAGCAAGGACATTGCGCTCTCAGGAACATGCACCCAGTTCATGGACTGGATCTTTACTTGTTCTTTTAGTGTTCACTCACTTTGAGCCAACCTGGATGCTCACAGTATCCCTGCCTTGCCTTGACTTGCCTTTTTGAGCCTGTCCCTTAGTCAGAGATGCCAGACTCACACCACTGTTGTGTTGCTGTTCCATTTAGTGCATCCACAAAGTCGGAAAGCTTATCATGGTTGACAACAGTCCTCAGTCAAGTCAAGTGAGCTAGCCTTCGGTCAAAGGGACCAGCACAATAAGTCATGTGCAGCCTCCCATACCAATCCAGGGGCTTAGGCACGGTCAGTCAGCCTCTCAAACTGGCCAGACTCAGGATCCTCTCATCATAAGCGATGAAGAGCTAAATGTCGAACAGCTCACCACCCATCTTGACCCTATTGTGGGCTGTTGCCCTCATGGAATGAGAAACAGACAGGTATTAAAGGGCATGAAAGTGGCTGACACAGCCATTACATTTGGTACAAGTAGGGAGGTGTGCTGAGTGAGTGAGTGGGCAGTGCAGAGGGCATGCAGGCTTAGTGGTATCAAGGGTTGAAATGGGTGAAGGCAAGTGAGGGCAAATGTTGCACACTGTGGTGACAGGGATAGAACAGAAGACTTGATGGAATGTGGGTACAGTAGCAGAGATAGAACAAATGTGAGATATTGGAGCAAAGATGGTAGCACTTTTGCTGGCAGTATGGACATGGCCATTGACTTACTTGCTACATTGCTGGGTATTGCTCCATCCAGTTGAGACAGCATTGACCCAGGTGGATCAAACTGGAACTATTCTGGCATAATCTGGTGTTGTGACCTCCACTGCTGGTGCAGCAGGAAGAGGATGCCCTGCCTGTGCATCACCCCATCGACCAGGACTTCCAGGTCCATGCCCTCAGAGCAGAGCTCCAACGTCTACTGTCTGCCATGTCTGGCGCAAATCAGGAAATGCATAGGCCTGCTCTGGACTGACGGTGCTTGTCTGGGTGCACAAAGGCCTTTTAAAGATGGTGTGGGTGCCAGCGAGACCGATCAATTCCGGGACGACCCAGCAGCGGCAGGTTGTTCTGGGGATGGTGAGTGAGAGAATGAGATTAACAATGAGGTCAGGCAAAAGGTGTGCCATAGGGCTGGGCTAGATAGTTAACAAGGCAAATTTGGTAAGACACAGCAAGAAAACGCATTGTGTTTTGTGGAGAGAGATCCCCCATGAAACTTGATACAAGATAAGAATGAGCCCAGTGGGCTAAGTGGCCTCTGAATTGTATCCATTCCGTGATCCTGTGACCCATTTTGCAATCCCTGATTAATGTGATTAAATTGAATTCAATTTGATTTTCATTTTGCATTGGAAGTTATTGCTACATTCAGTATTCATTGGGTTTTATTTTATTTATGATTCCGATTACAGGCTTTGTATCTCAATGACAACCAGATAGCTCATATAAGAGGTGGTGACTTTTGTCCCAAGGTGGATGATCCATTGAAAAGCCCATACAGTCGGATCAGCCTATATGGAAACCCTATTCCATACTGGGAAATTGAGCCTGGAGTCTTCCGCTGTGCTTTGGACTGGATGTTCATCCAACTGGAGCGACCCAACTAAGTGCTCCATTCTGAATATAATGAGATTGACTGAAACATGTGCCAGAAACTAAACTCAAGGCATCTTACTACCATTTGTACAGTTGACTTCCTTAAACAAACTGCTGATTAGTGAATAGGAAAATTTTAAAAAAGCAGCATTTCTTTTTACACTCATTACATTCAACTTGCGACTAGGTTAAGTGGTTATTTTTTGACTTTTTTTATACGTTTGCCATTTCAAGAGTCAATGTTATACACAAACGTTCTGCATCATGTACTGCGATATGCACGATTAACATGCATTCATAAAAAAGAACAGCTTTCAAGCAAGCTTTCCATTGCAGTTTGCATAATAAAAATGTGACAGAATTTTCAGATTGATATAATGGTATTATTTGATGATAAACAGTCCATTTACTGTATCGGAAACCATGCATTTACTTCAGTTAGCTCCATAATTTTTTCAGCCATCAACAACACACCAGAATTTCTCAGGGGGTAGGGTCTGCATGAAGATGAATGTATGTCACAGCATTGCGACAATGTAATTCTAGGCCAATGATAATATATATGGTAATGCATGCTCCAAAATAAAAGAAAACTGTAAGTGCCAAAGTTTTGAATAAAATCAGATGAATTTACACAGTATCTTGGCACCAGTGAATGTGAAGTTTTGTTTAAACAGTGAAGGTGGTGAAAACAAGGGATTATTTCTTCATATTTGGAACTACCTGGAATAAAATGCACTTTAAGGCAATCTGCTGAGTTCATTTGAGCTGAGCTGGCTCAATTCTTCAATACCAAAAAGTGAGGAACAAGGTTCCACCTGAATACAATCCCAGATTATAGATAGAGACACATAAGCAGGCGTTTAATGTGAATTTTTCTGTTGATTGTGTTCCATAGAATGTTAAAGCAAAGAAGGAGGCTAGTTAGCTTATGCTCATTTAAAGAGCAATGCAACTAATTTCTCTTCCCAAATAATTCCACACGAAACCCTGTAGAATATACACACATTCAACATGTTCAGCCTTTTATTTTGGAAATTAATAGGTTTAGAGATTATCAATCTGTGGCATCAATCCTAATAAGGGAAAATTCCAGTATTCTCAATGGATTGACTTGATCCAGATATAAAGTGTTCTTCATTACTATATAGAACGCAGCACAATATTTACAGACTCTGCATGCCCCATTACATTGAAAATTCAATTTTTATCTTTTCAGTTGATTCAACAAGTAATTTGTCGAGTCATAAACATTAGGAAGGATTTGAGTTTGATTCTGGGTCTGTGTTAGAATGGCATGAACAATTCTATAAAGATCCCATTGACCTTTGATAAATTTGGAGAAAAATAATATAAATTGTGACCTGATGTCAGGCCAGGTGAAATTCTCTTTAATTACTTCAACTACCAGAAAGAAAAATGGGCAGAGAACTATCCTTGAGCTCGACTCCCTAACCACATCTCCTTCATCACAATACAATCCCTGCAAATTTTTAAACAGGAAGACAGATTTACAACAGCTCCAGGGGATTTATATAAATCTTATCACATCACTCAGAAACAGTTCAAGGCACATTGCGTGCAAAGAGCTACTTTTGAATGCAGCAACTGTTATGCAGGATGCAGTAAAACTCTGTGATAATCCCACCTGATGGCAATACTGGAACAATCTGATCCCAGATGAAACTTGGCTTGATAGGCCATATGTTTAACTTTTGCAGTCAGTTAATGTGATGAATCATTGAAACATATTCAGTCTGCAGATGCTGTTTAACAACAGAATAGATAATTGTCACACAAAAGAGGAAAAGAAAGAAAAGCTATATATATATGTGGAAGACAATAAAAAAAAGTCTTAACACAAACATCCAAAACAAGGTTTCAAACTTGTTTCCTAATGCTATCTATTACAGATGGAATGCTAGAAAAATGTTACTCATAGTTCAGCTTTGTAAATCTTTACTGAACTGAATTTATGCAGTTTCTTTTTCTAAGACTGCGGCTACAGTTTAATGATTACTTTCTAGGTCCACGGGCATGAATCTGTCACAGTTCTGATGATCTAAACCTTGTCAGTTCTAACAGCTTGAAGACTTCTATTTAAGCTCTCCAGGTTTGGAAAGTCCATAGAATAGAAACTTCTTTGCCTAGGGTGACCAACTCCCCTGAACTGGATACAAAAGCTTTTAACTCCTGCCAAGAGAAAAACTTTTCTCTTCTGAGCTAAACTCTGGGTTACAGGGTCGTAGAGATGTATAGCATGGAAACAGACCCTTTGGTCCCACTCATCCATGTCAACCAGATATCTTAAATTAATCTAGTCCCATTTGCCAGCTGTTGTCCCATGTCCCTGTCAACTTTAAAACCTTCCTATTCATGTACTTATCTACATGCCTTCATCTGAACTAAGAACCTGACCATTCTGTTTTGAATTCAAAACTGAGCTAATTGTGTCAATATGTTTACTCTGTCTGTCATAAACTCAACAGTATAAACATTTTATCCATTAGCACTCCAGGGGTTCTCCCATGTACTTCACCACAGTCATTTGCCTTCTTAGAAATGACGCAGTTAGGTCACCGTCCAAATTACTTTTGAGTTACTTTAAAAAAAAATGCTTTCACAGAACTGACCAAAGTTCAGCCACCTCTATTTTAAACCTACATCTCAAAAATGATAGTAATATATTATACGCATTTATCATAGGACGGTCAGCTAGAAGAGGTGACAGAACAGCAGAGTTGGAAAATTTGCTGCCAAGTGATAAGTAGACACTGAATATTCACTTTTGGAAAGCATTATCTTGGAAAGCAGGATATCACAGTTTTGTGTATCCAGGTAGGATTATGACATTAACATAGAGTCATAGAGTTATACAACATAGAAACAGACCCTTCTGTCCAACCAGTCCATGCTGAACATAATCCCAAACTAAACTAGTCCCACTTGCCTGCACCTGGCCCATATCCCTCCAAACCTTTCCTGTTCATGTATCCATCCAAATGCCTCTTAAACTTTGTAATTGTACCCGCATCCATCACTTTCTCAGGAAGTTCATTGCACATGTGAACCATCCTCTGTATAAAAAAAATTGCCTCTTATGCCTTTTTTAAATCCCTCTTCTCTCACTTTAAAAATGTGCCTCCTAGTCTTGAAATTCCCCATCCGAGGGAAAAGACAATTACCATCAACTCTATCTATACCTCTCATTATTTTATAAACTTCTATCCGGTCGCCTGTCAACCTCCTACACCAGTGAAAAAATGTCCCAGCCTATTCAGCCTTTCATTTTACTGTTTGATTCAAGTCAGAGGTAAAATTTAACCATTTTGTGTGACATTGACCCTAAATCTTTTTCAGAATCTGGAAATGGACGAAGAGGATCATAATGTGCTATCATTCCACATCTATTGCTGCTGATGCTTACTCAGAGCCATTGGCTGATTAAAATTTCAATAGCACGCAGCCAAAGCTAAAAATGCTGTTGAGCAATTGCGCACCTCAGCAGGGATACGGGGACCGCATCTTGCAAACTTGGGATCTCTTTTAAAAGGACAGTGGTGGCAAATAAATGGGAACACCATTATCAAAGGCAGTGAACTCTCTTTTTAGCACCATTATGGGTGTACTTATTTCTGTGGATTCCAGTGGTCAGTCAGGTAGTTCAAAATTACCTTCTTAAAGGCAATTATAGATGGACAGTAAATATTGATGCAGCCAGCAACAGTAACACCTATAAAAGAAGAAAAAATTGCAGAGAGAGGAAGAATGCAAGATTCAATAAGGCTTTGCCAGCCATTGGATATGTATCTTCAAAGGGTGAAAGCATTTTAAGAAATGCCGTAAAATTGTGTAAAAACTCTCCTTAAATTAAACCAACTGCAGTGACTGAATTCTTTACATACTGATTCCTGCAGTGTTCCCATGCATAAACATTGACTCACCTCAGGAAATACAGAGTCAGCAATATTCTCACCACAGGTTACTGCAAAAAAAGCTTGGCCAGTTCAAAACTCTACCAAGCACAACAACTTTTCAGAGTTGGACAGGTTTACAATGAATCTGTTGCTATTGACTATCCACCATGGTGGGAAACAGACGGATCGTAGAATCCCTATAGTGTGGAAACAGGCCATTCATCCCATTGATCTCACACTGACTTTCCACCCAGACACACCGCATCCCTGTAACCCCACATTTCCTATGACTAATCCATCTAACCTGCACATCTCTGGACATTATAGACATTTTAGCATGGCCAGTCCACCTTACCTGCACATCTTTGGACTATGGGAGCAAACCAGAGCATCCAGAGGAAACCCACACAGACACAGGGAGAACATGCAAACTCCACACAGACAGTCACCTGAGCGTGGAATTGAATCTGAGTTCATGAGCTAACCACTGAGCCACACTGCTGCCCCTATGTGGCATCTAGTGGTATCAGATTTTGTTGTTTTTTTTAATCCATTTTCCTACCATATTTCAAAAGGAAATCAGATAAGGTAAATAAGGGGCAATTAATCTACTACCAACTGTTTCTGATACTACTGAAGGTAGATTTGGTTGTTTTTGGGCTGACTTTTACATTTTTTTTTGGTGGGGTGTGAGTTGAGTCAAGTCTCCTGAACAGATTCTCACTGTGAGGACCAGACTCATAGAATCTTACTGAAAGCACCTCATTAACTATCCACCCCACTCCCATGACATTCTTCACGTTTGATTCTGTCCCCACCTCACCATGCATCACTGGTGGAGCATCTTGCCACTCAGCAAATATCCGCCATATTGACCAGAAGCCCCGATGCCCATGTCATAATTAAAAGGACGCTGCGTAGCTGGATGGGCACTGGCATGCTGAAGCTGCCCAGCTCAGACACAAGTCAGAATCTGAATATGTCGGAGATTAGGAAGATGATGTCACGACCCTTTGACTGGGACCTAGATGTCCTGGTCAAGGGGGTGGTGCAAAGGAATGGAGTCCTCTTTCTGGGCAACAGGTAGAAGAAGACATGCCAGAAGATCCTGGCATCCGGGTCTCAAAGATGTTACCCATGTCAGTGCCACCTTGACAGTACAGAGGAATAATGGCAGTGCCATGAAAGGGTCAATGACTTAGCCTGCTCCACCGGGTTAAATGCAAAAACTCTTCTCATTGTCACTTCACACTTATTCTATCTCTGCCATTGTATCCCCCTCCTACAAGGCTCGTGTCCTACCAATCTTGCAACTGCCTGCAACATCTTCCCTCACTTGCTGTCACCACTATCTCCCTCCCAATTTTCCTATCATGAACCATCATTATCCTTTGAACAATGTGCTCACTCATTTCAGGGAATCTCACTGCCACTTGACCAACTGTACCAGCATTTACAGTCACGCCATCCATGGTCATTCCCATCCTTCCTCTCATTCCAGGAAAAGACACCGTCAATGAAGCTGAAAGGGCTCGATGGATGGAAGGGTGCTTGACATTTTGACTTCTCAGTCCCGACATCAGTCCATCCTGGCCTTCGGGAGAGAGGACTGGGAGGTTTCCTTCTAGAACGCTGAGACACCCATGTCCTGCCAACCAATTGAGTTCATTCTACTGCAGGT